CTGCGACACTGTGGCAAAACCAGGGGCATTTCTGCTATTCTCGTTGGCCATTGGTGGCCTCGGTTTGAGCTCGCGTATGACATAGATCGCACATCAGGATGCCTTCGAATTCGGCCCAGTGTTGAGCGCCTCTGTTTTGTTGGTCGTCCAGGTACCTCGAGCCAGGGCAGGGGAGCAGGCAGGCAGCAAAGGGGGCGAGCACGGCGGCGCCCACCAGAGGCTGGACGGCTGGCTTGGAGGTGGGCCCGTCGCAAGCCTTACCCCAGGCTTGAGGACCCAACACGCAAAAAGGTTGGCAAAAATTACCCTGGCGAAGAATCCGACCCTTTCCTCAGTGCCAGGCCACTGTAACCGGGAACGCCCAACGCAGAGACGCCCCCCCCCGCGGGCCCTGACGGGGGCACTCCTCATCGAGGTGGCCAATCAGGTGCTTGGCGTCCACGAGCGTCAGGATGCCGTCCAGGTACCTGCCCGGCGCGGCCTCCGCCCCGCCGCCGCCGCCGCCGTCGTCGTCGTCGCTGCCGTCGTCGTCGCCGCCGTCGCCGTCGTTGTCGCCGTCGCCGTCGTCGCCGTCGTCGCCGTCGTCGCCGTCGTCGTCGTCGTCGCCGTCGTCGTCGTCGTCGCCGTCGTCGTCGTCGTCGTCGTCGCCGTCGTCGCCGTCGTCGTCGTCGTCGTCGTCGTCGTCCTCGCCGCCCTGCGGGCGCCGTGCGCGCGCGCGGGCCCCAGCGCCTGCCGCGGGAGGCGGGAGGCGGGGCAGGGCGCCCAGCACAGGAGAAGAAGGACGAAGTTGAAGGGGCCCCCATATTTTCTGGGGAATCGAGGATTAATTGTGTCTGTGTGTTTCTTTCCCTCCTGAGAACTGCCGAGGCGCAGGCGCCATGGGCGGGGGGGGGCGGCCCCCGCCCCTGCCGAAGGAGGCGGGAGGTGGAGCAGGGCGCGCCCAGCCCAGAAGGAGAGGGACGAGGTGCCGAAAGGAGCTGCGCAGGCGCCGCGGGGGGGGAAGGGAAGGGGGGCGGCGGGAAGGGGGGCAGGAGGCAAACGGAGGGGGGAGGCGCGGCACAGGAGAAGGAGAGGCCCTGCACAGAAGAATGACACAGCGCAGGGAAGAGCAAGCCTGGAGGTCCGCGCGGATCTCTTGGGTCGGCGCTGAACCCCCTCCCCTGGTGCGCCAGGGGCGGTGCCAGAAGCGCCGCCATGGGAGGTCAAGTGCCGACCAGCGAGATCCGCGCGGACATGTCACACACACACACACATGATCTCGCTCCTTCTCCCCCACACATTCGTTATGCATCGGCGGCGTAGGGTTTGCCGCTTCTTTCATCCAGGGACTCTCTTGGAGGTCCTGCGCAAGCCTCGGAATCGTACATGGGGAACTGCAGACACGCAGAAATCATTCATTCCCGTTAGGTCTTCAACGATTTGGGGCCCTCATGGGTTCTACTCTGGGAGCTGAGGGGGGCCTCAATTGTGGTCTGTTGTGCAAGGGTAGACAGGGGGGGCAAACTTGAAAACAACATGGAATTGTGGGATGGCAGCGTCAGAGAGTTCAACAGCATTCTCGAAAAATCTTTCCATGTGACTCCGAAGTCTTGATGGGGCTCGAGGAAGAAGATAGGGAGTAGGAGTCCCAACTCGAAAAAAAAAACATGGAATCAATGGAATTGTTTTCGATCTTCGAACTCCCTTAGAAGCTTTCTGGGAGCCTGGAGAGCCGACCGAAAGCCATCTTGAGTTGTTTGGGAACGTCTTGGGCCTCTCTTTTACGTTCTGGAAGCTTCTTGGGGTCGTCTTGGGCTGTCCTCGGGCGTTTTGGGGGTCCCAAGGCGCCGGAACGCGCGGTACCAGGAGCGTTCCGCAGATGTTCTGGGGAGGCGTGAGACCCCCCGAGGGGGGGGGGAGCGTATTTGTTAAACTTGAAAAAATAATCTCTGGAATTCCTTCTTTTTGGGAGTTCCTCGGTGGTTGAGCGCTGGAAGCGGGAAAACGTGAGAAGGCGAACAACGTAAAAACCACCATTGGAAATCAACGATTTGATCCTCTTCGGGCTCTCTCGGGACGGCTCTTAAAGCTCTCGTGGAGTGTTCTTGGGGCCTCGTCGGGCTTTTTGGGGGCCTCTCATGGGTCTGGAGTGTGTCGTGGGCCTCTGGGGGGTTCCAGAGTCCTCTCAGAGGTCTCTGGAGGCCTCCTGCTCCCACTCTTGGGCTCATATTGAGCCTGTGCTGGGGTTGTCTGGAGCTGTCCTGGGCGCCTCTTCGGCAGTCTAGGGCCCTTCTTGGCCCGTCTTGGGGCCGTCTTGGGAGCCTCTTGGTCGGTCTTGGGGCGGTCTTGGGGGCATCTTCGGCCGTGATGGAGCTTTGGAAGCATGAAGTGGTGAGAAGGCCAAAACCTTCGAAGCAAGAAGCATGAACATTAACGAGTTTAGGTTCTCCGGGTGTTCTCGGGAGGTCTCTCTCTCGGAGCTCTCTTGAGGTCTCTTGGAGGCCTCCTGGGAGCCTGGAGAGCCGCCCGAAAGTCTTTGGTTGCTTGGGAGCGTCTTCGGCCGTTTTTGTTACGTTCTGGGGGCTTCTTGGGGTCGTCTCGGGCTGTCCGTGGGCGTTCGGGGGGCTCCCTGGAAGGCCGGGCAGCGCGGTGCCGGGAGCGAGCGGCAGATGTCACAAGGAGGCGTGGGACCCCTGGGACGGGGGGGGGGGGCGTATTTGTTTATTGTTATATCTATATATCTATATCTATATCTATATCTATATATATATATATATACACACATACATGCTAGAACCTGCGCGCGCTTCGCGCGCGCATAGGTTCTAACTGAATTCCCAATCATCAATGGCGCATGTGCCGCGGAATGCGCTTCCGCTAGGCACAGCGTGGCACGTGAGCGCCGAAACGGGTTCGGGCATCTGGACTCTGGAATCATTCCTGGAGGCGGCCCAGGGGTCTGAGCTGGGACCCCAGAACATCGATCAGAATGGGGGGGTGAGGCAAAGTCCGCTCAGAGTCTGTCCATGGCCGCCCCTCCTGGGGTCCACGCGGTAGTGTTTTCTTCCCCCCGGAGGTTCTGCGCAGTGTTGGGGGGAGGGGGGCCCGAGAACGGCCTCGGAGGCCGAAGGGCACACACGTCCTGCCCGGACCCGAGAGCTCGAGCCTGTCCGCTCATCCTGCTGGCCAGGACCGTTGTTCGGCCACCTGAGACCTCGGAGGAGGAGGAGGGGGAGGAGGAGGGGGAGGAGGGGGAGGAGGGGGAGGAGGAGGAGGAGGGGGAGGAGGAGGAGGAGGAGGAGGAGGAGGAGGAGGAGGAGGAGGAGGAGGCGGAGGAGGGGGAGGAGGGGGAGGAGGAGGCGGCACCCAGATCCCCAGTGGCTACACGTAAGAGTGGCCAGGACCATTGTTCGGCTATACCGATGCCGCTGCTCGTCCCCGAGAACTCTCGACCCCACGGCTGGAGTCTCCTCGAAGTCCTCGTGAGGCTGCAGGGGCCCAGGGAATGGCGGCACCGGCAACCCCCGAGGATGCGGGCGACCGGGTAGAGCAACAACAGCGAGAGGCAGGAAGTGCGCGACGCCGAGCGCCGGGGCAAACCCAGAACCAGGGTGCGGGGGGGCGATCGCTCTTGGAAGGGCAGAAGAGCAGGAGCATGGCCCGGGCGAAGGCCCAGAGGACGACGCGGCAACGGCGGCAGAAGAAGACGACGCGCGCGAAGGCAAAGGAGGGGGCGACGACGCCGCCCGGGGGGCAGGGCTGCACCTAAACGCTGCTCTATTGCTCTGTTCCGCTGTGCTGCAGAAAATGTTTAGCCGCGTTATTGTCGCGATGTTTTCGATCTGGTGTCTTGAGCCTCTCCGAACGACGTCTAGGCCGGAATACAACAAAACGCGCCAAGAGCGCTCGAGCATAACATGAAACAGAACAACGCACCATCTCGAAAAAAACAGAAGGCGCAACAAAACGCGACGCTGGCCCGACACCAACCAAGGCGCAACGAAACACAAGGACGCCGAAGCCGAGGGGGGCAAACACAAGAACGCAAAATCAAGAGGGCGCCGAAACAAAACTTAAAATAACGAAGCGGAAGCGACAGAGGAGGGGGAACAATCAAAGGGGCTGAGGAAAACGAATACGGGCAAGGACAGGGAGGGTAAAAGCAAAAGGGATGGCGGGGGGATGGCGAACGATGAGGAAATAAAAAACGAAGAACGCCGAACAAAAACGAAAGGCGCAATCAGAAAACTCGCGGGCGCCGGAAGAAAAAGATGGGCGCGGAAAAAGCGAAGGGCGCCGGATAAAAAGCAAAGGCCGCCGAACAAAAAACAACAAGGCCGCCGAAAAAAACGAAAGCCGCCGGAAAAAGCGAAGGCCGCAGAAAAAAAAGGCCGCAGAAGAAAACAGCCAAGGCTGCCGAACAAAAAAAACATGGCCGTCAACGAAAAGCGAAGGCTGCCGCAAAAAGCACAGGCAGCCGAGCAAAAACGCGAAGGCCGCCGAAAAAACGACGGCGGCCGAGGCAAGCGAAGGCCGCCGAAAAAGGCGAAGGCAATCGAAAAACGCGAAGGCCGCAAAGCAAACAGCGATGGCCGACTGACCAAAAAAGCGAAGGACGCCGAACAAAAAAGTGAAGGCCACCGACAAAAGCGAAGGAAGCCGAGAAAAACGACGGCCGCCGAACGAAGCGAAGGCCGCCGACAAAAGCGAAGGCCGCAGAAAAAAAGACGAAGGCCGCAGAACAAAAACAAAGACCGCCGAACAAAAAAACGAAGGCCGCCGAAAAAAACGAAGAGCGCCCAAAAAACAAGGCGCAACAAAAAGCTAAAGCAGCCAAACAAAAGCGAAGGCCGCAGAACAAAAAAACGACGGCCACCGACAGAACAAGGCGAAGGCCGCCGAAAGAAGCGAAGGCCGCCGAAAAAAAACCGAAGGCCGCCGAAGAAGGCAACGACCGCAGAGCGGAGCGAAGGCCGCCATCAGTGGCGCATGGGCGCTGCCTGACGTACTGCATGTACACTGCCACGGCACTGCAAGACTGGGAGGCTGGAGCTCTGCACGCGCCGTCGCCGCAGACTGGGTCGCCGAGAAGCCTGTGCCGATGTCTGGCCACTTTTTTTGTCACTGCGCACCGTGCTCAGATTTCAGCGCTTGGCATGGCTCACGCGAGACTGCACCCTACGCGATTCAGCGTCTGTGCCCGCGCAGGCTCCTGAGCCGAAAAGACACGACTGAGAGGATAGTGGCAATGGCAATAACAATACTCACCATGTTGATAGTAAGAATGATGTTAGCGATAGAAATACGAAGGCTAATAAGACTGATGACAATAACGATAGTACCAATACGTATGACGATGATGACGATGAACACGATGGTGGTGATGATGCGCATGCTGATAATGATGGTGATGATGATGGTGATGGTGAGGATGCTGATGGTGATGATGATGAAGATGGTGATGGCGATGATGATGCTGGCAATAATGGCGATGGTGATAATGAGAATGATGAAGAAGATGATGGTAATGGCATGATGATGATGGTGGTGATGATGATGTTGCTGTATGTTCCTGGTGTTGCTGCTGCTGCTGCTGATGGCGATGGTGACGATGATGGATACGATGATGACGATGATGATGATGATGACGATGCTGATGATGATGATAATGATAGTGATGACGATGACGATGACGATGACGATGACGATGATGATGATGATGATGATGATGATGATGATGATGATGATGATGATGCTGAAGTGCGTGAGTGTGCGAGTGAAAAACAGTGGAGGAGAAGGGTGAGGTGTTCTTCCCTGCGCGGGAGCTACCCATAAAAACCAGAGCCCCACTTAGGACGTGGGGAAAACGAAAGAAAACACGGATATGTGATTCCAACATGAAACTATCGGGCACGCAAGGCTGGCCCTAGCGAAGCAGCCGAAAGATCCAGAAGCCTGCCCGTAGAGGAGAAAACATCACAATACAACACTACAACAACAACAACAGCAACAACAACAACAACAACAGCATCAACATCAACAACAACAACAACAACAACAACAACAACAACAACAACAACACAACAACAACAACAACAACAACAACAACAACAACAACAACAACAACAACAGCAACAACAACAACAACAACAGAAACGATTCCGCTTGAGTTCTGGGGCGAACGAGGGCGAACACTGGCAGGAAGAGGAGGACGAGGACACGGTCGATGATGGAGGGCGGAGGGAAGGAAGGGGCGGTGGTGAAAAAGGACGGAAGTGAAAAAGGACGGTGATGTTTGTTCTCGTCGGTCGTGCTGCTCATCTCCGTCGCGCAACACGATATATGATTTACCAACTTGGCATCTTGGAGGACCTCGCAAACCAAAGCCGACTCTCCTACACAAACAGCTCAAAGCGCAGTCGGCATCAGGATCAGTGTTATGTTTGTTGAGCTATGTGTTACTGTGTTTGCTGCTGGGGTAGGGCGAAGTAATGTACAAATCAGGAAAGCAGCTCGTGTTGGCCGAAGCCGAGGGACACCAGAGCAGTGCATCGCAGACGAGACTTTGGCGTTCACAGGAAGGTCTCAGCTGCTCATCCAGCACACACTCCGCTGATGGTCGCCTGGCCGCAACTCATACTCGAGAGAACCGCAGGAAGAGGAGTGGCCCTGGCGCTCCTCATGATCACACAGACATCGAATTCACGCGGGCGGTGGACAGCACTGCTTGGCCGAAAGAAACTGGAGGCAAGGGGCAGTCTTGCACAGAAAGAAGGCAAGCAGCCTCAGGGATCCACGAGAGAGTTACTGCCGTAAACAATTCAAGAGCGCTGAAGCCCAAGAATCTAAATGCGGAACCTTGCGACTCGCCAGAAACCTTGGGGCTGAAGCAGTCGTGCTCTCCTCTCGAGAGCGACCTGCCCCTTCGGAGGCCGCCCCGAGGAGCACGCAGCTGAAGTGAGCGACAGAAAGAGGCGGACCTCACGCGAGATGGCACAGCGACGTCACGCGGTGGCAGACACGGGCCGCCAACGCGGCGCACCGCGTGGAGAACGCGGGCGGTTACCCGTGACATCTCGCGGGGAGCTTGCGCGCCAACGTCCGCGCTGTCGATCCGGCTCCCCTCCATCGCGCGAGTGGTCCGAGAGGGGCGGGGCCCTGGCTCGCTCAGCCGCAGTGCTCGGGGCAGCGCCCAGAGCGCAGCCCAGGGCGCAGCCCTGGTAAAAAGTTGTCGCCGTGCTGTCGTGCCGCCCTGCACCCTCCTCGTGGCCTCGTCGGAAGGGCCGCGCCGATCATAACATTATGTACACCCACGATCGGCGACCGGCTCCACTGTGCAGCGAGATCCCTCCTCCTCCTCCTCATCTGAGTCGGCGGTTCCGATCCATCGCATCCTCGTCCTCGTCCTCCTCAACATCATCATCTTCATCGTCATCGTCACCATCATCGTCATCGTCATCGTCACCATCATCATCATCATCATCATCATCATCATCATCATCATCATCATCATCATCATCATCATCGTCATCATCGTCATCGTCATCGTCACCATCATCATCAGCAGCAGCATCACCATCAAAGCACCATCATCATCAGCATCATCGTCAGCATCATCATCACCACCAATATCATCCTCATCATCATCTTTAGCATCATCATCGTCACTACCATCATTAGCTAGCAGTGTCATCCTCATAAACATCAGTATCATCATGATCAGCATCTGTATCATCATCAGCATCAACATCACCACCATCATCACCACCATCATCGAACATCAGCATCATCATTACCACCACCATCCTCATCCAACTACTTCTCCTCTTCCTCCCCCTCATCATCACCACCATCATCAGAATCATCATGATCAACATCAGCATCGTCTTCATCGACATCGCCATCATCATCATCATCATCATCATCATCATCATCATCGTCATCATCATCATCATCATCATCATTATCATCACCATCATCATCATCATCATCACCATCATCATCATCATCATCTTCGCCGTCATCGCCATCGTCGTTGCCCTCGCCATCGTCATCGTCATCGTCATCGTCGCCATTGTCATCGTCATCGTCATCATCGTCATCGTCATCGTCATCGTCGTCATCATCATCATCATCATCATCACGCTACGGAATCGACCACGCGCGAATCGTTCAACCACTCGCGCTGTGGAATGACGTCTGCGATTAGGACCATTATCATCACCATCATCATCATCATCATCATCATCATCATCATCATCATCCATATCATCACCACCATTACCATCATCGTCATATTTAATATCATCATCAGCATCATCATGCTTAACATTACCATCATCATCACCACCACCACCACCATCACCGTCATCAGCACCATCAGCATCATCATCATCATCATCATCATCAGCATCATCATCATCATCATCACCATCATCATCATCATCATCATCATCATCATCATCATCATCATCATCATCATCATCATCATCATCATTATCATCACAGCCCTCCTCCTCCTCATCATCACCATCGTCGTCATCGTCATCGTCATCGTCATCGTCATCGTCAGCATCATCGCCATCGTCATCGTCATCATCGTACTTTACGGGATCGACCGCGCGCAAATCGTTCAACCACTCGCACTGTGGATTGACGTCCAGGATTAGGAGGAGGAGGAGGAGAAACGTTTTTGAAACGTTTTGGCAAGCAACGTCGTGCAGGAGGAGGAGAAGGAGGAGGAGGGAAAAGGAGGAGAAGGCCGACCTGAACAAGTCGGTAAACTATTCCGACCCTGGTAAAAGCACAAGATACCGATACCGCTACTCTCCAGGCTTTTCCCGGGGTGTTCGGACTACACTTCCGGCCTCGGAGGAGGAGGAGGCGGCGGAGGAGGAGGCGGAGGAGGAGGCGGAGGAGGAGGAGGTGGAGGAGGCGGAGGAAGAGGAGGAGGAGGAGGCGGAAGAGGAGGAGGAGGAGGAGGAGGAGGAGGAGGAGGAGGCTGAAGAGGAGGAGGAGGAGGAGGCGACGCGAACCCAGCATTGGCGATGAGGGCTTCCCCGGAGGCCCCACAAGCCGAAGGCGAGGCGAGGGCAGCGGTGTCGGTGCGCTCTCCCTCCTGCAGCAGGTCGCTCCGCTGCTCCAACCTGGGCGCAGGCGGCCGCGCCTCTGTGCATCGCTTCACAGATACCCATTCTGATGAGCGTGTTTTCCGCCACCACCACCATAAGTTGGAGGGGGGGGTCCTCCTCCTCCTCCTCCTCCTCCTCCTCCTCCTCCTCCTCCTCCTCCTCCCTCCTCCTCCTCCTCCTCCTCCTCCTCCTCCTCCTCCTCCTCTTCGCCCCATCCAACTTATGGTGGTGGTGGTGGAAAACGCGCTCATCACATTCCACTGGCACAGCGACCACGCATAGTAAGGACGGGCGGTAAGGACGCAAAACCCTTGGAGGCCGAAGTTGGGATTTTTGGGCGACGAACGACCCGTGAAAACGGCCAAGGACGGGCCGCAGAGGCAAGGACACAAGGGTACCTCAGAAAAGGCACGCGTCCTTCCTACGCGCATTGACTGTATGACCTCCGCCCCATTGGTCAAACTACCCCCCCCCTGGGTGGGGACATGGTGCTGCTCCGTTCGGGTTTCGTGGGGCCGATCCCTATCTGCGAGATACCATCACCAGGGATGGGGATCAGTTGGATGGGGCTGAGATAACGTGGCCCAATGGGGATGGGGGCTGAGATACCACGGCCCAATGGGGCTAATATGCCATGGCCCAATGAGAATGGGGATCGGTTGGACGATGCTGAGCCTCTACTCCACGGCCACCGCCTCCACAGCGCACAGCCACTCGTGAAGCACCCCAGCGAACAAGTCCGGCTGCTGCAGCTGGGCGTTGTGGCCGCAGCCCACGACAACGTGCTCCGTGAACAGGCCCCGGAACCTGGGAGGTGAGAGCACAAGAACCTCCTCCTCCTTCTCTTCCTCTTCCTTATCTTTTCCTCTGCTCCTCTTCCTCCTCCTCCTCCTCCTCCACCTCCTCCTCCCCCTCCACCTCCACCTCCACCTCCACCTCCTCCACCTCCTCCTCCTCCTCCCTCCTACCCTGAGATACGGGCGTTGTTTTTTTGGTTCACGCCAGGCGTTTTCGTCTGGCTTCGTGCCCCATGACTATCACAGATCGATCCAGCTCGAACAACGCCGCAGAAGGATTGGGTCTAAGGCTCCAGGCGTTATGTTGTTCGCGCGGTTGCAACTCAGGACTGGGGGCCTTCCTCCTCTCCCCTCTCATACCATCCTCCTCCCTCCTATCCTCCTCCTCCTCCTCACCTCCTCCTCCTCCTTCCTCCTCCTACTCCCTCCTCCGCCTCCCCATCCTCCTCCTCCTCATCCTCCTCCTCTCCTCCTCCTCCCTCCCTCCTCCCCACCTCCTCCTCCTCCTCCTCCTCCTCCTCCCCTCCTTCTTCTTGTTCTGCTCATCACAGTCCTCATCACTCCTTCTCCTTCCCTCCTCCTCCTCCTCCCTTCCTCATCCTCTTCCTCCTCATCCTCCTCCTCCTCCTCCTCTCCTCCTCCTCCTCCTCCTCTCCTCCCCTCCTCCTCCTCCTCCTCCCTCTCCCCCTTCCTCCTCCTCTCCTCCTCCCTCCTTCCTCCTCCTCCTTACTTCCCTCCCCTCCCGCGCTCTCACCCCCACCTCCCACGGTCCCACCCCGCACCACCCCCCACCTCCCCAGGTCTCCTCCCCCTCTCCTTGTCCACGGGGTCAAGCGCGGCCCTGCCCCCCGCCATTCCACGCGTGCCACCCGTCCCTGGACCGCGAGCGCACCAGACGGGAACAAAAGGGAGAGGGGGGGCCTTATTGGGGGACGGTGCGGCCCGTAACGGCATGGCGCGATGGGACACTGTCGGCGAGACCCACGACCTTCTATATAGAGAAGGGGGAAGAGTCGGCACAAGCACACATACATATGTATATATACATATAGATATACGTATATATATATGTGTGTATATATATAAACACATCTATAAGCCCACGGAGGTCCGCGCGGATTCCTTACATCGGCGCCAATGGCGCAGCCAGGGGAAGGAGCCAGCGCCGACCCGAGGGGTCCGCGCGGAACTTCGAACACCTACACGTGGCTCGTACCTGCTGCTCCGCGGTCGCGCTCCGCGGAGAACAGCCCCGGGAGCCTGGGGCAGTCGACGCCCCGCCAGCCGTCCACGCACGCGTCCGTGACGAAGTCGCTCTCGCCGCGCACGCAGAGGAGCGGCGCGCCGGAGGAGGCCGCGGCGTAGCGGCTCTCCATCTCGTGGCGGCTGATCTCCCAGCCTTACGCAAGGCGCCCAGGGACACAAATAGATGGCACAAAATCCGCCGACCCTGTCGGCGTGTGGAAGGCGCCCTTCCGTTGGTCGCCGTCGTCGTCGTCGAGTCGGCTCCGTCGCCTCCTTGTCGTCTCCGTCGTCGTCTCTCTCCGTCGTCTGCTCGTCGTCTCCGTCAGTCGTCATCTCCGTCGTCACCCGTCTCCTTTCCCTGGGCCCTCCTCCTTAAGCGCGCCAGCCAAAGCGACATTGAGCAACGTCGTAGCTGACTCGAAGGGAGGCCCCGTCCCTTTGATCCCTTCCCCACCAGGGGGGGGGCCCAGAGGGTGGGTCCCAGGGGGTGGGTCCCAACCCAGATGCGCATCCCCCTCGGGTGGTTCTGGGGCCAAGACAAGCCCCAAGACGCGACTGGAGCCCCGAGAGGCCCTCAAGAAGGTCCTCGAGGGCCCCGAATCGCCGAACTACTGGTCCAAGACGCTAGAATAGCCTCCAGACGACTCAAGAGGTTGTCAAAACGCCCCACGAGGCCTCCAAGAGCACTCCCAAGAGTGCCCAAAGGGGCAAGCACTACGGATTCGCCTTGAGTGTTTGAAAGATGTTGGCGTTCTCGTCTTATCAATTTTCCGACGCTCCAAGACAGCCCAAGAGGCCCCCAAGATCGCACGAGAGGCCTCCCGGGCCCCAAAACGACCCAAGAGGGCCCCAAGACGGCTCCGAGAGCGAGCCCAGGCGGGGGATCCGAACGGACATTTCGAGCCCTCGGCCTGAGAGGCTCCCAGGAGGCCCCCAAGAGACCTCCAGGAAGCCCCCAGATGCCCCCACGAGGCTCCCAAGAGGCCCCCAAGCGCCTCCCAACAGGCCCCAAAACTACCCCCAAGAGGCCTCCGAGAGCACTCGTAGTCGTCGTCGTCGTCGTCGCCGCCGCCGCCGTCGTCGTCGTCGTCGTCGTCGTCGTCGTCGTCGTCGTCGTCGTCGTCGTCGTCGTCGTCGTCGTCGTCGTCGGTGTATTGATCGTCGTCGTCGTCGTTCAGGGTCGGCGGCAACGGCCGTAAGGCTTCTCCAACAAATAGACACTGATCCCCGGGTTCCTTATATCTTTCCATAGTCTGAACGTTGATCTTCCCAACCACTTCCTATACTTTCCAGTCTCCTGGGCTTCGACGAGTATTTGTGTCTGTGTGTTTTTCCCCTCCTGACGGCCCCGCAGCGGGAAATCCTCCCACGGCTTCCACGCCGCGCGCATGTACGCCTCAGCGACCAGGGAGGACCCGGAGCTGAAGTGGCGCTCCCAAAACTCGCGCTCCGCCGCACCCTCGTCGCGCTGGCTGTCCTTTTTTTGGGGAGATGCAAGTTTCGAGCTTGGCTGGGAGACTACACTTTGCCGGGGGAGGCCATCAGAAAAAACGGCGGGACCTAGCCTGAAGTTTAGCGCGAGCTCCCGCCGCAGACATCGCATGAACACCGGGCTATCAAAAAGCGGATCCATCAAAAAGCGCTGGCACACCCGAATCCTGGCAAACTCGAGTCTCATGGGGAAACTGGAACAAGTGGAAAAGCCGGAGCTGTACAAAACTGGCAGGGGCCAGAGCGGGTCCGAAACAGCCGTCAGGGCAGGAAAAACTGCAGGGAAATTGACCTGGTCTGGAAAGAGCGGACAGGCTGGCCGGCTGGCCCCGCTTGACCATCCTCCTCCTCCTCCCTTCCTACCTCCTCTCCCCCCTCCTCCTCCTCCTCCTCCTCCTCCCTCCTCCTCCCTTCCTCCTCCTCCTCCTCCTCCTCCTCCTCCTCCTCCTCCTCCTCCTCCTCCTCCTCCTCCTCCTCTCCTCCTCCTCCTCCCTCCTCCTCCTACTCTCCTCAAACAATTACTCAATATGAATACTACTCTCCCTCTTCCCCTGATGACGGTTTGAAAGTGGCCGACCCCCCCCCGCGTATGTTTTTTTACACAGGTTTCCCCGGAGTTGGGTTTTCGCCTGCATTTTTTTCCAAAATGCTGCTCTCGCTGAGGCGCGGCCTCATTTTCGGGCCCCGCTCGTTCCGAATCGTGCTCCCGCTGCAGCGCTGGCCTCATTTCCGTGCTTCCGCTCGTTCCGAATCGTGCTCCCGCTGCAGCGCTGGCCTCATTTCCGCGCTTCCGCTCGTTTCGACTCGTGCTCCCGCTGCAGCGCTGGCGTCATTTCCCGTGCCATGCCATGGCATGCAATGCAATGCTAGGTTGATACTACGCTTTGCGGTGCTCTTCTACGCCATGCCATGCCGTGCTCTACAATTCATCGCGTACCCTTTCGGGATCATTGCCCTGCTCGACATCCGACTGAGCGAGTAGAGAGGGGATCTGCGCCGTGGTAAGGCATGGGAGGGAGGGGTAGGATGTCAGATATGACGCGAGCGCACCTAGCTTGTCCTCCTCCCCCTCCCCCTCCCCCTCCTCCTCCTCCTCCTCCTCCTCCTCCTCCTCCTCCTTCTCCTCCTCCTCCTCCTCCTCCTCCTCCTCCTCCTCCAACTCCTCCTTCCCCTCCTCCTTCTCCTCCTCCTCCTCCTCCTCCTCCTCCTCCTCCTCCTCCTGGAACTCGCTTGAATGTTTCCCTCGTCCTGTGGGGCCTGGTGGCGACCTATCGCCTACTTGGTGCGTGCGGAAGCGATGACGTCCCCCTGACGCTGTTTTCCCAGTGTTGGATGCAACGCAGCCCCCCCCCCTCCCAAGGGCAGTTGCCTCTGGGGGAGGCTGTTACAAACTAGGCGATTTGTGGAGATAGTAGAGGGATGAAGCCACGCAGGGGAGTTCCCCAAAAAGCGGGGTAACTGGGTTCCTCCTCTTCCTCCTCCTCCTCCTCCTCCTCCTCCTCCTCCTCGTTTTCCTCCTGTTCTTCCTCCCTTTCTTCCTCGTCCTTCGCCTCTTCCTCCTCCTCCTTCCTCTTCGTCCTCGTCCTCCTCCTCCTCCTGCCCCCTCTTCCTCTTTCATCATTATCATCATCATCATCATCATCATCATCATCATCATCATCATCATCATCATCATCATCATCATCATCATCATCATCAGCATCAGCATCACCATCACATCATCATCATCATCATCATCATCATCATCATCATCATCATCATCATCATCATCATCATCATCATCATCATCATCATCATCATCATCATCATCATCATCATCATCATCATCATCATCATCATCATCATACACCTTCGCCTCCTCCTCCGCCCCCTCCACTTGTACACATTATCATCATAATCTTCCTTCTCCTCCTCCTGCTCCTCCTCCTCCTGCTCCGCTTCTTCTTTTTCTCCACTTCCCCCGTTCTCCTCCTCCTCCTCCTCCTCCTCCTCCTCCTCCTCATCCTCCTCCCCACCCTCGTCATCCTGCTCCTGGTGGTTGTCGTCGTCGTCCTCTTCCTACCCCTCGTCCTCACCACCATCACCACCACCATACCACCGCCATCAGCTGCAGCAACGCCAGCAGCAGCATTTCAACACTGCCACCGACGCCACCACCACCATCATCATCAGCACCATCATCACCAGCATCATCATCATCATAACCACCACCACCACCATCACCATCCTCATCCGCATCCCCATCATCATCAGCCTCACCATCATCATCCTCAGCATCATCATCAGCAGCATTACCATCATATCGCCATCAGCATCATCGTCACGGCATGGCCAGTGAAAGTACTGCGCTTACCATCGCGATTCGTGCCAGGATTGGGTACGCACATCAACAAGTGCACTCCGCCCAACCTCGACGTCGACCACGACCTCTAGCACTGGCGCGTTTCGTTGCGGCTGGAGTTGGGGTCCGATGAGATGTTCCCAAGTATCTTATGTGTTGAAATATATTGAACGGGGGGAGGTGTGTAAATCTGGGTCCCCCATCAAGTCAGCCGAAAACTCAGGCGCGCGCGGGAAGAGCGACGCCGCTCAGTGCGCGAGTGCGCACTGCGCGCGCACTCGCTCGAAGCCCATGCGAAGCTCTCGCGGAGCGGCAAAGCGTTGGCGGGCGGCCGCAATTGCGTGGAGTCGCTAGCGGCCGCGAAGCACGCAATGCGCGCGCGAGCCAACGACGGAAGGGCAGGCACGACGGGAGAAGCGGCGGCGGTTTGGAGACAGCGCTCAGCGCAGGAGGCGCGGCGCCAGCGGCCGCGCCAGAAGACGCGAGGAACGTCTTCCGCGGCCGCGTGGAAACCCGCTGCCCCGGAACCACACAGACAGGCAGGCGCGCGGTTCAGCCCGCGGGCCGCGCTGGATAACGAGACGCCCATAGCCAGAAGCAAACGGTTCCACCGAATGCAGATGCCGCTCGCGCAAGCGGATCGGTGAAATGCAAGCGCGGGAACACTGGCCCTGGCTGGGGGCCTCTCAGACGACCCATCGCCCATCGGAGCAGCGGGCGCGCAGCGCGCCGGATAGGAGAGGCGGATCTTCGGCGCCATTTAAAGCGAGGAAGGCATCGCCACTGGCTTCCAACCTATCGCCGGGCAGCAAGAGGGCACGGCGGCGGGCGGCCAGGAGTTCGCCGGAGCGGAGGGACATGGCGAAACCCTCGGCAGAAGGGCTGCCATGAGAAGCAAGTCGCAGAGCAAGCTGAAACAAACCGTCGCCAGAACTAGGGCGCGGGGCAGCGGCGGGCAGAGCGGGGGAGACTCGGCGTGCTTCCGCTGCCTAGCCACACCCCAGGTTCTCGACGGGAAAGCACGCCGGCGCGGGCGCGGGCGCGGGGCCTGGATGCCCAGAATGGCATGCACGCGGACGCTCGAGAAGCCAGCATCGCTCAGCCCTGCGCCGGAGATCGCAAGAACCCGCGTGCTCGAAACCCGCCGCGGCATGGCGCGGCCAAGACGACGCGCGAATGCTCCGCGAGCCAAAGCTCGAAGGCGTCGATAGACCCCGAACGCCAATCGAGGAATAAAGACAAGGCGAGCGTCGCGCACGAATGGGGCGCGAGGGGGCTGGCCGCCGCCGCGGCGGCGTCGGCGGCGGCAGGCGCGGCGGCTGCAGAGGCTGCGCAGAGGCCGCGCGCGCGCCGCAGGACCTGCCCGTTCGCGACGGCGGCGCCGCGCTGCACCGCCGCGCGGCTGCCCGAGACGCACGCGGCTCGCGCCCGCCTGGAAGCGACAAACAGGGGTGGCGATGCTCGCGGCCGTCGAACTCAATCACCGGATTGACGGCAACGTCCTCGTGCGCCTTCGCGAAGACGACGCCCGCGCCGAGGGCGGAAGGCGCCCCGGCGCCCCCGCCTCGGACGGCGACGCGCCCTCCGCTTCGACGCCGGCGTCTTCGCGGGAGCCGCGAAGCCCAGCAGGCCACAGGGGGGCCACAATATATTGCGACCTCTCGCGGCGCCGCGCCGAGGGGGGCAGGCCCGCGCGCGAACTTGCGGGGGCTGCGCACGCGACGGCGCGTCGCCGCTCGGGTGGCTCGCCACGCGGGCCCCGGCCCACGGCGGGAAACGTCGCCCCGTCCAGACGGGCACGCCAGAGGCAGTCCAGGACGACGGCGATCACCGCAGCCCGTCGGCGCTGGGCCGCGTTAGTCCCTGGGCCGACCCCCCGGGCGGCCCCCCGAGCAAGAGGACCGACGGCCTCGCCCGCCCGCGCTGGCCGCCAGCCCTGCCGCGCGAGGCTGGCCGCGGGTTCGCCAGGGCCAAGCTGCGCGCGCCGGCGAGGGCCCTCGGCCTCGACGTCGGCCAGCGCGCGGCCGGAGGCCGACGCGGGGACGCCGGGGCCCGCGCGCTCCGCGCGGCCGCGCAGATCGGCGCGGCGCGCGACCGCCGCGCCGCGGGCCGCCGCGCGCAGGGGCTTGCGGCGATCGCGCCCGACTCCTCGAGCTCCAGCATTCAAATCGTCGCCCCCGTTCACATCGGGGGCCGGCTTCGCGCGCGGGCGCGCCTCGCGAGCGCCGCCCTCGAAGGCCTCGGAGCGCCGGGCTGCCCGGGCTGCGCTTCGCTGCGTCTAAGTATTCAAATTTGAACGCACGAGACTCAAACGGTTCAACGGATCGGGCGACGCGGGCCCGGGCCCTCAACTCGGCATCCAGGGCGGCGCCCCGCGCGAGGCGCAGCCGCGAAATGCCCCTGCCCCCAGAGATCAACATGGGATCCCACCAGCCCTCTGGGCGCAGGTGGTCCAACGAGATTCCTCTGGGCGAGGTGGTCTCCCCGAGGGGGAGGGGGGGGGGGAGGGGCTTCCCCCGCCCCCCTCCCCGGGACTTGTTCGATGGGTTCCGCGAGGCATGAGGGCGCCCGCAACGGCCTCGGCGAGGAAGCCAAAATCATCAGTTGCACTAAGGTTTCGGCCGCATTGTGGCTTCTTTTTTTTG